TTAGAAATAATCTAGTTTTTACCAAACACTTTTAAGATATTTCATTCAATATTTATTAATATTAAAAATGAAATAGAAGAGAAACTAAATATTACATACAAATACTACATCATTATTACAAAGAAAGATCTCGTGTCGATGTCGATCTTAAAAATACTACATGATTTCAAAAAACATCTTTTCTGATTTCAGCTATATATTCATTCTGTTGTTAGTATGCGAAGTTTGATTTTAAACTTTACAACCAATTTATCGTTAATTTCTATTTTACAAGTCGCCTTTCTTGGAAATGTCGTCTAAACCTATAAGAACATCACTATTCGTATTCAGTTGATATCGTTACAATCTAAATAAAATGGGTTCGACAAGTTATAAATTAGTGTCGAGTATGAAAAGCGACCAAATTAAATGCCCATAAAACACAGATACGATTCTTACTCCTTTAGCTTTTATTAAAATAAAGGAGGAAAGACAATAGAACGAATACTTAGATAGATAGATAAATTGATACTGTTTGTGTGTGTGTGTGTGTGTGTGTGTGTGTGTGTGTGTGTGTGTGTGTGTGTGTGTGTGTGTGTGTGTGTGTGTGTGTGTGTGTGTGTGGGTGTTATAAAAAATAATTATTCCTCAACTACACACCACCATAAATCGGAAAAAAATAAATAAATTGATGCAATTCCAACTTGACAACTTTACACATTATCTCAACTTTCAACACCATAAAATCCTTAAAAAATAAGAATAAATATTTTGTTGTGTTAAAGGGAGACAAAGCCAGGTATTTAATTGTTTTTGTTCTAATTTGTTTTAAGCTAAATGACTCACTATTATCTGTTAAAATGACATAGTTTTCAAATAAAACTCAAGTATTTCAAATAGAATAAAATAATGTTTTTTCATTTTTTTTAATAATGTCTCTTCTGTGGACAACTAAAAAGGAAATTTTGAACTCGCCTTATATATGTTTCGTCGAGTCAAAATAAAAATAAACCATCATTTTTCTTTTGGATTCTTTGGCTAATATTTTCAGGTACACTTTATTTTTATTTGAATAATTAGTCACCCTTTTATTTTAGTTCCAATTAAAAAATAATTTTACTATTGATCACAACAATAAAACTGTTTTAAAGGGTAGGAATAAAAATTTATTCATGCCTTTAATTCCTTCAGAACAAGATTTATACTTCTTCAATAGTGGTTAGAAATTAAATATGTTTCTGTGCCTTTTGCATCACGTTCATTAAGTTCTACATTAGTTTCCTTGTGTATGGATTGTATATATATATATATGAATATATAAATTTTTTTAAAATTTTTTTTAACGACGAGGGTTCGCAACAGCAGAGGTTTTTGAAAAGCCTCATGGAGCCGGTGTTTTTGAAAAGAAAGCCCATTTGTAAGTATGTCGGGTTATGGATTATATTTATCAAACTACTATCTAGCTTCAGGATTTTTAATAAAGCATGAGCGTATTGTTATAGGTAAGCTTCAAAATTGTTATATGATTGATCAATAGTCAAATTGTTTTTCATTTGATCAAAAAATATTAAAAGTATTAAAAAAATTGTGTGGTGATTAGTGACCGTTAATCGATAATTATTTATAAATCGTGAGATGCGGTCTGGTGTGATGTAGGTTTCAGAAAAACATTTTCTTTATCGTGCCAATGTTTCGATCTTTATTGAGATCATCTTCAGGGCCTGGGATTTATAAACATTGTTTACATTTAACAAAGACATTTTGGATGTGGAAAAGTGAATTTATACAATGCAAAATATATTTTTTATATATTCGATCAAAGTATTTCTACTCACTCAAAGTGTTTGTCTTGTGTGTAATTGTGTCATTCATCACAAACAACAAAATCAAAAACACTTTGAGTGAGTAGAAGTACTTGATTGAATATATAAAAAATATATTTTGCATTGTATAAATTCACTTTTCCACATCCAAAATCTATTTTTTAAATGTAAACTATGTTTGTAAATCCCAGGCCGTGAAGATGATCTCAATAAAGATCGAAACGTTGTCATGATAAAGAAAATGTTTTTCTGAAACCTACATCACACCTGATCGCATCTCACGATTTCTAAATAATTAAAAAAATTATATTCTACAAGAAGAAATTATTATTCTGTTAAATTTTGAATTTCCTACCAGAGTCTATTGGATTATGAACCAGGAGTTTGGTCATTCGTCAACCTATCATTTTGGTCTGTCTTGGTTATCTTTTTGGTTCTGTCATAAGGGTTTTAATATGGGTGACTGAAAATGTCGACACCAAAATAGTGGCGAGTAATCTGTCCAAAATAATTGGAAACGGCCAAACTATAAATTATAATTTTTCATTCAAAACAACAACCCTAAGTTTGGTAGTCATACTTTTCATTGCGTGCTTCCCAGAGGAATGAAAAGTAAATATTAAAAGGTCAGTAAGTCCATCAGCAAGAATTGAAAACAATGAACATTTCAACTAACATTTCCTAGTGTATATATGTCGAATAGAATTCTTGAAAGTGGACGTTATCATCCAAATAACGGAGTACCTCAGACCTTCTGCCGCGCTAATTACAGTGGGAATAATTGCTTCCTTTCACGCATATTATAGATGTATAAAAGGAGCTTTCTTCTTTCCGTTGACGACTGCTCAGAACAATTCTGCGAAATATCGCAATCGGACGGGCATCTGCAGGTGCATGAACATTCCGCGATTCTCAGAACATCTGATTCACGGAGAAAAATTATTGTAACCTGTAACACTAATTACCATGTCATCTGAGGACCTTCTATTCGCTGCAAATCCTTTGCTGTGCAAACATCTTCAATTACATACCATTGCACAATGTCCGCAACGCGATGATTGCTACCCAGATTTCAAAACGGTGAGATGCGATTGAGTGTGAAAATATGGGTAGACAACTAAATCCGTTGATCCTGGAACCTTTCGGTAAATTTTAAAGCAACCACAAAAATGGAGCAATGCGGAATGGATTATGTTAATGCCATAAGATCAAGTTACAGTATCATAGGACAGAGGCGAGCAAAATACTCAGCCATGAAAGTGTCGCACCTAGAAAAACTAAAACATTTAAGATATTATTACACCTCAAATGTACATACTATAGTAGTTACTAAAGGATACACATAGGGATTTGTATAAGGCCCGTTTTGCACCGTGGTCTTCGATAGTCTCCTTGAAATCATGGAGGAAATAGGGATAGACTTTGTGGCTTTCGTCGATGGCCTCGTAACCATTGGCCGACACTAAAAAGACCTCGAACAAAAGTCCGAAACCGTAATAGGCAAAATACAATGAGAAAACATTGAAAATATCCTCCGATAAATATGCCCGGAAACGCTCACGCTCAAAAGTAGCTTACCTTAAAGGACCTTACCAACTACCACAAAGGATAGAGCTTAGAGAAAAATTCAACCGCCATGGCAACTTCTTGGCATACCTCTTTAAATTCAAAACGTCCAACCGCCCTTTACACCCCGAATGCGATACGGACGATAACGTTCGCCAAAAATTCTCTTTTGCAGAGTTATTGAAATGAAAAGAGAAGACCTACCTCTTCAGCAACAGTCGGCCCCCAGCTTTAAGCGAACTTCTCCAGGACCAAAACCGTTTCCAGGAGCTGCAGATATTAAGCATCAAAATAAACATGCATTTTTGAAACTAAGCAGGTATACAAATTATTATGTCTGGAACCTGTAGTACACATAATAAATCCTCTTTTAGACAGATTATAATAAATTATAATTGTATTTATTATAATAAATTATTATATTACAATAAATAATGTATAAGATATAATAAATATTATTATACATATTATAATAAATAAATTATAATCGGGTACATGGTGGCATTTACAAGCTATTGCGAATATATAAGGAAATGGTACAATGGCAAGAATCATATTGTCGATTCTGACAGCAAGCTTTTAGTTTTAAAAGTCAAGTTGATTAACTCGATTAGATAATGGTCTATTCAAAATAGTCTCGATGCTATTTTAATTAAAAGTATGCTTTGCTCGAATGAAATATATTTCTTTTAAGTCTTGCCTTGACTTGTACGCTATATATTTGATAAAAATATGTAAATATTATGCCAATTCATCATGTTGCCTGTCAAGTATTCTCAAACTGAAACCTAGAGTTAATAAACTAACAACGTTAGGGCAAATGGAATACCGACAGAAGCCTGTAATTAAATCACTTTCAGTGTCAACATCTTTCAGGTGTATTTATATGCCATTCCGAAGACATAAGCAAAGCGGATAATACAGTGGCATTCATAATAATAATTGATTCAGATATCAAGCTTTGAAGTAATCAAAGCAAGTCAGAGGCATTAGTAAATCCTCTTATAAACAGATTATAATCAATCGGGAGCTAACAGCATCCTGTAATTCATTCCTTAGCAGTGCAAACAATTGTGGTTTAATATTATCCTAAGGACATATTGGGATGGTGTTATTAATGGATGGTTTTAGGATAATGTGATAGGACATAATGGGATTGTGCTAACAATACAAGATCTGACAATCAGGTGGAAACTATAGTGAACAATAGTATATCTTTTTGTAAACTTATTATAACCAAATGGTTACTGACAGCCTTTAGTACATCTCTTGTAGTCTAATGTCTTCAATGTTTACTTACATGCCATTACGAAGACCTGATCTGATACTACAATGGCAAAAAAATAATCGTCGATGTAGATCTCAAGGCTTATAATGAAAACAAAATAATGGGTATTTATGACAAAATACAAGACGTACTGAAGGTAATGGGGCACAAGATTGGTATATCATTTGATCGAAAGAGATTGAAGCTTTACCCCGTTACAAATTTTCTGTTTTTCTTTCTATTATTGGCAAGCATAGTTTTTGGTATACTCGTCATGCCAAAAGTACATGTGCAGTGACGTCAGAAAAATGACATCACTGTTGCAGTTGCATCCCCTCTTCAGTTCTTGCTCATCATCACTGGAGGGGGCCGGAGAGGGGAGGGTGCATTCCGACTCCCTTCAGTCACACGTGGGATACACAGGAGGTCCCACAATGGAGATTGGCGATACCAAGCTTCGTAGCGGTAAGTCGTAATTTGATTTATTAATTAAATTATATATACAGGGTGCCGCTGTTTTCTTGTGTAAATATGTCAAAATGGGGTTACGATCATTTAGACTTTTCTCGTTTCGTAATATAAGCCTGGCGCCTTACAGAGTGGAGGAGTTTTATATTTCAGTAATAAATTTGAACAACTATTCCGGAGGATTTGACATTTTAATCCTTTTTTTGTTTGTTTATTTCGGAAGTATTGCGCAGTTATGTGCATGACCCTGACGGTCAGCTTTTTACGTACTGACGCGTGTTTTTCCATGGGTTGTTTTTGACACATTAGATATAATTTAATATTACGAAAAAACAAACAATTATTATAACTTAAAGAAATATTTTTAAGTATCTTCTCGTTCTATAAACATAAAATTCTTAACCTATTCGAAGTAGGCGTAAAATAAACAGGTTCTTCCTTTGTCATTTAAAACATAATAATTTAATAAAATGCAGTAAAGTAACGAAATAACAGTGCACCCATAAGAAAAAAAAATATATTGGTCCTTAATTTTACCTTAAGGTCAGAATGTACAACAGGAAAGCATAAAGATTATAACAGTTTTAGAAAAATATAATAAAATCCATTTCCATAATTGTAATACTAACAAAGAAAACGTGGAACAAGCTATTGAAAAAACCTCCCTGAAGGATCGTGTCGCACAGCAGGACGCGCACAGGACGCTACGGACAGGAATATCTAGGGACGAATAGGCGCAGATGGCGCCATCTGAATCCTTCGAAGGGCGCTTTCCTTTGGTAGGATAATGGACGAAAATGGGTCGAATAGCTTGGTCTGAAGGGTTTTAAAAAAGTCCAAAGATCTCAAAACAAATTTGATCCTTAATCACAAGAAAATCCTGGAAAGTTGTAACATGTAACACTTTTATTTTCATAATGCCGGAAAAATATGCCAAGTGATTATACGAACAGTTTTTGAAATATATGCTGGTAGATAATAAATTAAAATAAGAATAATAGATATTCAACGTATAAAAGTTCCATCAGACATTAAAATCATAGATTTATATACATCTGCACAAGTATAGCTTGGTATTTATATAAACAGAAAACAAATTAAATTCAAATCAAGAAAAAAAATTTAATAATGAAATTGTATTAGTAGTACACAAAAAGAATGTTGATTCTGATAATGATTTGTTTTTGAAATAATTTAAATCCTTGAAGAAACAGTTATTATTTTCCCTAAAAACATTTACACTATAAAATTATGCACACATCAGACAACTATTGAATTTTAATTGAATTTGAAGTACAATTTCTGCTCATAAAATTGCTTTTTAGTATAATAAAACCGTAGTAAACTGTAAAAACTAAAACAGGATATGTAACAGCATACACTATAAATATCTAAAGACATATAACGAGATTTTTCCTTTCTTTAGAATTTTTAGAATTTTCGTTAATCCATTGTTGTAGCATAATGCTTAAAATAGAATTTCTGTTAAATTACAATATCCTATCAAGTTCCCTCTACCCTCGCTAGCCAGGGTCGCTAGTCAAAATTTTCCATAAAACCAAAAATATAAACTGAAACACCACTACCTAAAAACAAATGTATATAAGTTAACATCTAACTAAAAGGACACCATACAAATGCAAGAAATTATATTTGTTATACATCGTACATAAAAGTGTATAAAATTCAAAACTATTATCCCTACCGAGAAAACAAAATTGTCAAACTGTCGAATTTGCAGACAGCTGGTATTATTCACCAACAAACTGAAGGTAGACCTAGTAAAACAAGAATATGTAGAAAACTTCGTTTCATTACAGATAGACTAGAAATAGGAAATCTATAATAAAATCATTTAAATCAAGGTCGAACACATCATTTCACTGCAATTTTCTATATGTCAGAAATAAGAAAGTGAGAAAAAAATATACGTAGAAAACAATATTAAAACATTCACACTAGAGGTGATCAGTAACAGAAAGGTCAGTTCATGACAACCCAGCCTTATAAAACCATAAAACCTGGTTGTACATTCATATATATGCTTTGTAAATGTCCCATTTAGTCGTTACGTTAAATACAAAACAGGACATTACACATGTACTTTGGCCCTTATCGTACAAATGACCATTACAGTTTACAGCAGGTGATTCATTAAGGAATTTCATCCAGTTCCTATTTGAGTAGGCTTTGAACGATTGAAAGGAATCTGAAAAAACATGTTGAAGACTTCGGATATGTGTTTACATCACATGGCACCTGCTTGTCTCATTTTATTATACTGTAAATATCAAATTCTATAGCAAATTAAATTATTTTTACATCGTTGTTTCAGTTTGTTTTAACGTCAATTCACACAATTTATTTTATGTTTATAATCCAAAATAACACCTAATACGATTTAATTTCAATATTAGATTTTAAAAAATGACGATTTAATTTTACAAAATTTCAGCGGTCCGTTTGGTATCGCGTTGTCTTTTCATAGAGCCGATCACTCATACATTGTCTGTTTTCTTTCTGAAATCAGGCGTGTTTGTTGTCAGTAGCTTGTTACGCCTTCCCTGGATCAGATAACCCCAGGGCTGATGAAAGTTCATCCAAGACATTCTTGACGTGTTTACATGTGGAAAATTGAATTATATATACATTTCTTTCAAAAATCGTCATGGATGTCGTATTATTAGCAAATAGATTTGGTTTGACACTCACAAGTTTTTGAAAAATTTGTAAACAGTTTATTTCATATAATTAGCATATTACTGCAACATAATATTTATTGATTTATTAAAGACAGTCCTTGAATAGAGAGAATATAAAGAAACAAACATTGAATTGTTGATAATAATTTTTAATTACGCCCCTCATATAGGCATATTTAAGTACAATTTTGCTGTATATTCTTATTTTTAACCACTATATTATTAAATGCTACATCAATATTTTAACGGATGCACTTTTGCTCCAGTTCGAAATACGTATGTACGTGTCTGTCTTGACCATCTCAGGTACCCAAGTGCTAAGAGGGTAGCTTCTTTCAAAGGCATACTTCAAAAATCTTATAAATTAGGAAATTCTTTTCAGGGGATGTTTCTTCTGGCCCGTGTTTTGTTGTTTCACAGGCGTAGGGTGGTCAGGTATAGAAGGGTCCAAAAGGCAAAACTGAAAACGTCTTTTCAGTGAACCATCTGCCCAAACTAGCTCTTCCAATAACTAGGACCAATTAAGTTGACTCCCTTGGCCTACTTAGCTAATTCTTTTTTTTTTTAATGTAATTCAGTGAAAATATTTGAAAACCTAATCGCGCCTGATTTTCAGCAACTAAAGAAAAATCTAAATGAAAAATAAGCTAATTACTAACACAATAGCCATTGTAGATTAAAAAAAATTGATCCGTTTGCATATAGGTTTATTTCTTTAAGTTAAATTAAGTAGGACTTATTGTGCCATATCTTATAGCCACTTGAACGATGCAAATGTTACTGTTATTGTTTATTAATTGATTTCTCGTAATGCTTTGTACACCTTGGTTACAATTCAAAATATGTGAGTCCTTCAACCATAGCATACAAGCGACATATTTTAAGAAACATTATATTAACATTACATTACAAAATATTGTCATAAATTAAAGTAATTTTTTCATTCTCTTTTATTACAACAACCATCCTTAGTGTGTTCCAATTTACATGCATATTAGGCATGTAATATGATTAAAGGAAAATAAACTATTATTTTATAATATATATTATGTATTCAAAAATGAAATTATCGGTGATGACATGTAATTAAATTCATTAAATGATCATCGTGTGGAAATCGTTCTTTACCTCGAAACGACCGTGTTTGTTTAACAGTCAATGTCTTTATCATAATTTTATTTGTTTTTTCTGAGTTATATTAACAATTTACATGTATGTACATATATAGTTTCTTTATTGGTGTAAATTACTCATTATATTACAATTATTTAGTTACTATTGTATCCTCACAGAAGATAATTAACAGCTTCATGTTTGATGAAATTCCGGCAGACTTTTAAATGGAATTATTATTACTAATCTCGACCAAGACCTTACATAAACATTAATTAATTGAAGGATGTTATTTGATCAATCGGACCTCAAAATCTAATGGATTAGTACTAATTATTATTTTGGTTTTTCTTCTCAGTACAGTCTATCCGTTGCTCCTTTTTATCTACTTTGACAAAAAACAAACACACACACACACACACACAGAGAGAGAGAGAGAGTGAGTGAGTGAGAGAAAGAAAGAGAGAGATTACTTTTTTAGTAAATGTGGATGAAGGAAAGAAAGAAAGAAAAAGAAAAAATATGATTTTACTCTTTTCACATATTTCCTAAATCAAGATTAGTACCTTACATTCTTCAAAAACTACGTTTTCATTTAGAATTTTATGAAACAATTCTTTTCGCATTTTTAATATCGTTTACTAATCGTACTTATTGTTTTGGTTTGTATTGTTTTGTCAAGTTCTGGACACTCCTTTTATTTGGTTCCCTGGAAATGAAATTATATATTATGCATAATCCTGCCCCGGTTAATCTTAATTTACCTGTTGTGAAACAATGAGAAATGTGCTTTTCCGGTAAAATTAATTTAATTTTATTGATAAAAGGACGAACCAAGATTCTGTGATTTTTACTGATTGTGTTCTGACGTCAATAACATGATTTGATTGTCATTTGTTTGCGTCATGAATCAACATAGGATGGCAAATATCATTATTTGTTACGATTAAAGTATAAAATCTAGAAGTTAGAAGTAAAAATGCAATTAAAACATCACCTCAAAACGTTATTTGCATCTGCATTGAAAACATTTATCGCCTCGCACACCCAGGCACTACGGTCCAGTAGTCTTTTATTGTCTGAAAACTGCTATCTTCCATGTTTTCTATCTGCTTCCGATGCACTATAACATTTTGCACTAAGAGGCAAAAAGTGGCCAACCTAGTTTTTTTTCATTAAATA